GGCGGACACTGGCGGCTCTGTGGGTCTGACGGTGTTTCTGACCCGACCCTCAAGTATTTGGGGGCTTCCCAGGCTCCCCCATCCCAGCACACCCACCCTTGGTCCCAGGAGACCTCCCGCTCTCTTCCTCGCCCCTGCAAAAGGATGCTACCGGCCTCGGGCAGAGACTTCCAGCGATCACCTCTCTGCAGGGCGTGAGCTTCCCAGGGGCTTCCCAGGGACTCCAGCCCCCCTGCTCCCCACACCCCAGCAAGCCAGGGAACATCTGCAGCCCCCAGGCATCTTGGGCCTCCCTGCTGCCAGAGCCAAAGGGAGGTAAAACGTGTACTCACAGCCTTCGGCCGTGCTGCTAGCACCAGGGAGCCACCGGCCTCTCACCTGCAGCCCCCTGGGTTCAGTGCAGGGCTGGGTCACCGCCGCCATCTGGCCCCGCAGCCAGCGCCCATCTTGCACCCCAAGCTGCTCCCGGGAAGGGATGCCCCAGCCTCGAACAGAGAGGGGGCCCGTGGCAGCAGGATGCGAGCCCAAGCCAGCCGGCAGCTCGGTGCTGGCTCTGGGGTGGCGTAAGAACCGCCGTGTTGAGGGCCAGGCCGGGGCCCCCAGCAGTGAGAGGGGGACAAGCGTTGTTAAGCGGTGGCCGTCACAGTCCCTGAGCACGTCCCAGACAAGCTGCGGCTGGAAGGAAAGAGAACGGCTGCAACCACCCTCCCAGATCATCTAAGGGGTGACGGCAGCTGCCTGCCTGCTCTGCCTGTGGCAGTGCTGAGACCCCCCTCCTCTGTCCATAACCAGGGCACAGGGTTTGTCTTGGGCTGGGAAGGTTCAGTGATGAAGGGTCTGACCCACCCCCAGGTCATCCACTGCTGCTGAAAACATTACCCAGATTTTAGGTTTCCGGTTACATTCCTCTGGTAGAGGAAAAGGCAGCTCCTGTCAGTTCTTAAGGATCAAATCCCACCTTATACTTCTTTTGTTAAGTGGACTATTTCTAATTTCTTGTAAGGTACTAAAAGACTCCTCAGTCCTGAGGAATTCATGTAACTCTGGTGCCTTGGGTTTGTTTGCATCGTTCCGAGGCGTGTTCCCCCTTCCTGCGGGAGGAGGCTGCCTGTCTGGGAACAGTTGGTGCTGCGTGCGTTTCAACTGCGAGTGCAGAACTGGCCCTTCACTGGCACAGCGGGTGACTCCAGAACAGCCCTTGCAGCCTCCGGGGGCCCACAGACAGGCTGTGGGCTTCCTCCTCCTCCGCTTTTAGAGCGGCAGTGTGGTTTAGCAACCAGCGTGGTAGCCAAAACTGGATTTGAGAACAATGACGCAGATTTCCTTTAACCCTGGTTCCAAACTCTGCTCCCCTGGGTCCCGTCCTTCAGCCGTGCATCCCCGGACAGTGTGGGGTACAGGAGCAGCAGCACCAAGGGTTTACACCATCAGAGCAAGGGCAACTCAAGGGGGAGCTCCAGACCAAGGGCTGCGCCCCACAGGGTTCAGGTACAGGCACTAACTCCTCACCTGTCCTGTGCAGGCAACAGTGTGGTGCAGAGGGCAAGATGTTCAGGGAGAGGCAGTGTTTGCACTGCAGGATTCACCTGTTCTCGGGGTTTTTTAGACATCCCCACGCTTCCCTTTGGTCCCTCTGTGCTGTGTGTGCTCCTTTACTGCGCTCCTAGCATGTCCTGACCTACCCAGGAATTAATTCTGTTCAGCCAGAACAACACCACTGCCCCAAAGCAGCAGGCTGTGCTCTGGAATAGCGGGGAAAGGGGCCACCTGGGGAAGGTGCTTCGGGGCTCTACGTGGCTGATGGGTGCAAGCCCAGCTCACCCATTTGGGAAGGGACAAAGTCACTGTATGAAAACCCATAGACCCGGATGCTACGTTGGATCTCGTTTAAATGAGCCATGCCAGAGAAGCTCAGTACCCGTGGCTCGCTCCTCAGTGCCTGTGGCTTGCTCCTCATGACCCTCCCGCCACTGGCCACCTCGCAAGACGGGTCTGGGCCACCTTCAGTTACCTGGGTCCTGGAGATAATGGTGCAGGATGTCGGGGTGTCGGCCAGTCTATCGGCTGTGGGGAGCAGCAGGGAGAGCTGATCTACGATGCCCATCCCTCGGATAAGGTTCTCACGCTGCAGAAGAGCATTCACTCTTTTCTTCTCCTCATGTTCCACGATATCCTGGGGTTGCGTAGAGTCGTACTGTGTGCGCTGTGCCTTAGGAAAGAAAGGCCTGAGTTGAAGCTGTAGTAAAGCATGAGAGAGACAAAGCCACAGGCTGCTCCCAGCCCCGGGGAGAACTACAGGCGTTGGGGGGGGGACAAAGATCCCAGTGGGAGCCACAACAGGGGAAAGACAACACTAGTGCTTGCGACCACCTCCCAGCACAAGCTGTCAGCTCTGTGAACTTGCCTAGGGGGAGCCCAGCCTCGTAGTTCCGCTCCTGGGGAGACACCCACAGCCCAGTGCTGTTCCCAGAGCTACTGGGAACCCTGTGGACAAGCACTGACAGGAGCAAGGTACCTTTCTGTCCCACCCCTTGGTGAGGCGGGTTGTAGGAGCTGTGGTTTTATTATGGATCTGGGATTTGTCCCCAGCTGACTCTCCATGCAGGTCTTTCCTCTTCATTTTCTTCTTCCTGGTAAGAGCTTCCAACTTCTCTTTTTTCAGGCGAATTTCCTCCAGTTGCTGCCTGCCATAGAACAGTAGTCTTAAGTCACTGGTTCAATAAAATCCATAATAGCAAAAGGCTATTGTGAAGCCTTCAGTCCAAGGACATTTCACCGCAGTCTGAAGTTCTGTAGTGGATAGCCCATAATAGAAGTGTGCCAAGAAATGAGCCAAGAGTGCTTTTAAGACTCTCATTGCTGTAAGAAATGCCCTCGCATTAGGCTGTGCCCACCAGAAGGGCGGAGGACACTCGTGACACGGTGCCTCCAGAGTCCAAAAGCTGACAGAATGTTGTATTTGCCTCCAGGGTGTGTATTAAAGGAAGCTGCTTTGCAGTGGTGGCAGCACACTCAGACTCCTTCCCTCCCAGCTCTCCCCAGCTCGCTTATGTCTCTTAAGCAGCTGAGTCACTCCCCAGAAGGGATGGGAAGCAAGCGGTCTCTGTGCCACCCCTGGGAGGAGCAGGATTTCGCAAGAGCAGCATACCTGGCACACTCCTCCCGTGCTCTGGATGCCACCGTTTCCTGGAAGAGGGAGCTGCTCTGCTTGAAAAATGGCTCATACTTCTCCGTCCCACATGCTGGATAAATGCGTCGGTAGCCACCCAGGTGCGCGTTCTCATACTTCTCTGCCTGGGAGAGCCAGGCTGCCTGGTTGCTCTCTAACTCCTCACGTCTGCTAACCAGGAGAAAGCACAAGCAGGGAGCTGTGACAGGAGGCTCGGGGTGCTGTCCTGGCTGTGGGACGAGGGCCTGGCCAGCACTTCCCCCCATCTTTCCCCATTTGGGAGCCTGTTTCACGTGTGTGTGCTGCAGGGAACCAAGGCAACCTGTGCTGCATCATCCACTACCTGCAGAGCACTGGTGAGGCCACTGCAGCTGCCTCCCTACCGCCCAGGCTCACACCCTACCCTGCAGCCTGTTCACCCCACTAACCCGGTTATGAGAGTTAAAATGTGCCTGTTTGAGGCATTTCTGCCACCCACACACTGCTGGGAGCTTTCCTGGCTATCGGGAAGCTCAGAGCAGCCCAGGCGGCAGGGGCAGTACAGGGCTGACATGCTCAGCGTCGCCAGCCTGGAGTCATCTCAGGTCTCCTAATTGAAAAGGGAGCTGGAGGGAGTTCCTGCCTTGCCCTGCACAGCAAGAAGAGCCAGGCAGCAGGCTCAGATAACCTCGAGAGGCCATGTGGATTAATTAATCATGAAAAGACATGCAGGTGGAGGAGGGGAACCCTCAGCACTGGCTCTTCTGCAGATGACTCGGAGCTCTCTTCTCAGAGGCTCTACAGGGCCACGGCCCCTGGGAGCTTTAATTTGGAGACAGCCAGCCTTGGTTTTATCCCACTCCACCGTGCCCCATCTTTTCTCACTGAAGCTCTTTGGGGAAGAGCAATACCTAGAGGCATGGAGAGTCTGATGGGCCCGGAGGAGCCGCTCCTTTGCCCGCTGTTTATCTTCCTCCAGCACCTTCCTTTTGTTACAGGCATGCACGTTTATCAGGTTGATAGTATCACAGAGAAGAGCATCCTTCACCTCACGGTCTAGCTGAGAGTCTGTGGTGAAGCTGGGAGAGTGGTTCACCTGCCAAAACAAGCAGCTCATTGAACATGTCAGCTCCCAGCTCCCAGAAGGCACTGCCAGCAGCCAGCCAGCAAGCAAGCCCTGGCTGGCCCCACCACACGCTCTCATGGACATTCTTCCTTGCAACAGCGACAGCGAGCAGAAGGTTGCAGGCACATGGCAGCTCTCCTGAGTTCAGGACGCTGTGAGAGGCCACGGAGTCCTGAGGTTCAGGAAACTCCCTGCTGTCAGAGAGGGTGTTCAGGGAATGGGCTCTTAGATCCCGCTTAGCCTACAGCAAGTTGCTTGGTTCCCTGTCCTTGCAGCCTGTTTCATTTTGTTAACAAGGTGGCTCTTTTTAATCAAATGAGTTCTGCTCATCCCACCAGCCCTCACTCTGGAGCCTCCCTGAGACACGCCAGCTCTTGGCTACCTGCTGCTTCCAGAGTTGCTGTTGACAGCAGGAGACTCCTTCCTCACCTCTAGCAGCCACGGCTTCAACTTTCTGTCCAGCAAAATATCAAAACCGAGTATCTCAAAGCAGGCGCAGCCAGTCGTGTGGTTCGGAAAGCAGCTTTGGTAATTGTGCTTCACAACGGGGTGAGCTGAAATGAGAGTCTTTATAATGATATCTTCAATATTTTCCCAGAGTTTTGTTGTGTTGTAGCTGTTATCCCTCATCCAGGCATTCAGGGTGGACAGTTTCCTGCATGGAGGACAGGAGGTGACAAGGGTTGAGCTGTGACATCATGCCTGCCCCAGGAAGGATGGCAATTAACAAGAGTCCCAAATGCAGCTCCCCTGAGGGGTGTGCATTGGGTGCTGTGGGACCTGGACGAGGCAATACCTCTTACTGCCTATTGTGTCATCCTGGATGAAGTTTTCATTATGTTTGTTGATGGCGTAATTGGTCAAATGCATGCAGATATCACCCTGGTAGAGGAACCGTAAGAGACTTATTTACACCTAACCACAGAGTGTAAATAGAAACAGCCCCGTTAGCACTAATTAGCCACCAGCTTCACCCCCTTCTTCTCTGTGGCAGTGGCTTGCAGCAAGGAGGCAATTGTGCTGGTGAGTCCCTCTCTAGCCAGAAGTTATTGCTGACAGAGTTCCACCCTCCCCACAGCTCTGTCCTTTTCTCGGGGAAGAGCAGGGAGTCAGCTCCAGGAGCCATTCCGGCCAGGGCTCACCAAGGGACTCTGGACAGAAGCTGCAGCAAGTTTCTGCAGATTCCTCTTCATTTCCCCAAAGCAGACCACCCCTCTGAGAGAGATACGTGTTGGGGGGGGGG